TGGGGCACCTCGATCTAATTGAAAGAAGTTTAAAATATTGTAAACTATATTCCAATACTGACTTCCAAATATGTTGAGGTATTCTGTCTTGTATGCGTTTAACTCTTCCATCAAGTTAAACCGAATTGTTGGTCATGCATCTTCATGAAGACCAAGGTGGACAGCTATTGCTCGAAATCCACAGTTTCCATCACCTCTCACATCATGTACCTGTCTGATGTAAGGGTGAAACATTTCAGGAAATTGATTAATATATGGATGCGCATTATAATTATTGTTGACGAAAGAACTATGTCTTGCTGGTTCTTGATAGCTTATTTCATTCAAGTCAACAAATGATGATGCATTTGAATAGCTACGTGTCAGGGGTCTTTCAACTGTAAAAGACGGATCAACATGAGCTGTAAAAGACGGATCAACCTTAGATGTATAAGACGGATCAACATGAGATTTTCTGAAAAGTTTATCCTTCAACGAGGGACGTCCACGAGTAGTCTTGTTAACAACTGGTTCACGAACCCACGTTTTTTATGCATTGGTTATCTCTTTTATCTTCCTTAGAAAACTAAACTTACCAGATCTCGATTGTTTTTTAAATTCCTCAGTAAATATTTGGACTTCATCTTCACAACTAATATCATCATCTTGTAAAGATTGGCACGATGATAAATCAAGCTTCGTCCAAAATACATCAATTGAATCAATTGGGATAGGATGACCTTTGTTGGAATATAGCATTTGTTCATGCGCACATGGCAACCCATAACTTGTACGTAGTAGACAATTACAATTTCCAAAGAATAAGCCAACTGATTGAGCATGTCGATATTCCTGGAGTATTATGTCTAATGCATAAAGTGAAACAAAACCACACAGTTGTTCGAAGTGTGGTATTCGATGAAGATGTTTCGTGACACTTCTGCTCTCTTCAATACTTGCTCTAATTTCTGTATCTTGGGACTGAATGAGTTGATTGATCTTGCACATAAATGTCGATAGACTTGATTGCGCAGAATCCAAGTTAGTTTTCAACTTGGAATGTTGGCTATCCACTCTGTTACTTGTCCGATTTCCGAAGTGGAGAAATTTGTCAGTCCAAACAGATACAAACATTGCTTTAAATGGTGTCAACCATGTGTCATTCAGATAAGCAAAAACAGCTGAAAAATTGAACAAAACGAACGAATTCCATTAATAGTAGTTGTTAAACCTGTAAACATTTTTTATTTACAATATATTCGAGTGTACCTGGATAGCTAAGCAATACTGCTTCAAGTTTTGCGAAATTAGAAAGGTAAGTTTCTTCTGATTCCGAAGCAATTAATGCCACCCATGTATTGTAAAAGGAACTCCAATCACGGTTTGATGTTATTGATGGTCTACAATTTCTCATTATACTTTGGTAGATGTGCCATCTACAAAGTAATCTTTTAGCACTGGGAAAAACAATATTGCATGCTTTCATCAGTGCCAACTCTCTATCTGTGACGATCACACGTGGATAAAGACATCATTCCATTAACGATTGTAGACAATTTAATGCCCAAGTATAATTGGATATCTTTTCCTTGTGCATAAAGACAAATGCTACGCAAAATGTCTTATTAGTTGAAGTTACACCAACAATTTCAATGAGAGGCATCTCAAACCTGTTCGTTTTATAGGTGGCATCCATCAACAACACGTGTGGAAATGCGCGCCATATCTCCAATGATCTAGGATGAGCAAAGAATAAATCTTCYAATTCATTGGTCGAGTYATTTTCCCGATCATAATATACGTAGCCTTCATCTTGTAAAAATGACATCACAACTTGCATTGGAGTTCTACCTGCATTCTTCTTAAGTCGAAGTTTCTGGCATTGATTGTATATYGTCTTTTTTGTAGACACATTATCTGGATACTGCTGTTTGATTGTTGATAAAATATCTCTAGGTTTCACATTGTTGGCYGACAAATCTTCCACCAAYCSAGCTTGAGTTTCAGATAGTCGTCTTGCATATGCATGACCCTCCAGATGTAATGCAAAGTCATGGTTATGTGCTTCACATTTTGCAGTTAACGTTCAACAATCATTACCCAAATGCTTTCCTACCAAGCAAAATGGGCAATTTGTTTTTTTTGTCCCAGTATGCTTACCGGAGGTTTTATTACCTTTGTGTATACCTCCACAATCACATTGCAATACAACTTTAGATGGGTGCCCACATGAGTCACTTTTGATTCTTTTGATAACAATAACAAAACCAAGTGAAAATGYCACATTGCGTACCCAATCAATTAGATCTTGACGAGAATTAAATACCTGAAATTGATTTTTTTAAGTTACAACTACTAGTTACACCATTATAATCGTCTCGTTAATACATTCGAAATGAGTTTAATATTGAATAGTTTTTGACTACATTATATTATTATATATTATATTTACTGTGACAAAATATTTTTAATATTTACGATTTACGATTTAAAACTCAAGTTTCTTGGTTCTTTGCTCCTGATGTAAATCGAACATATTTGTGGAGCCGTTTAAATATGTTGGATTTTAAATATATTGAATTTTAAACTGTCATACATTTTTTTCATCGATAGTCTGTAATTGAAACCATAACTCTTATTTATTCAAATTGTCTAAATATGTAAAGACCAAGTGTAACTTATATCATCGTTAAATCTTATCTTATAAAATCAATGAAACTTCAAAATCGTTAAAATTCATGGCTCCCGCTGTATTGCACGGATACACAACTAGTATATAAATTAATATAATATAAAAATCTAATAATATATATATATATATATATATATATAAAATATAAAAATCTATATATATATATATATATAAAAGTAATTTGTAAATAATAAAATAACATAAAAATAACAAAATAATATATATGTTTTTAATATAAATATATAAAATAAAATAAAATAAATAATTATTAATGTGATGTTTATGAAAAAAGTTAAATGGTGCAATTTCCAAGAAACAATACACCCCTACAAATGGCACCCCCCTTATCCGAAATATTCAAGAATGAAGTTGATTTCAAGTGGCATCAAATATTGGAATTATAACAACTGATAAATATAAATCATAAAAATGCACATTTTTTTTAAATCTAATTCATTATTTTACAGAGCTTTCAAATAAACCAAAAAGTATTTGGTCTAATGGTATATAAGCCGTTGTATTTATAAGAGGTTCATGATTTAAACCTCACTCCAGATGAATAAAGTGCGAGTCTATTTATTGCATTTATCTATAAAAATTATATACTTAATTTTTTTTTTAAAACTCTTAAATTTAAAAAATATGTAATCCATTAAACATTAGGTACAAATCTGTAACCTTTAAAAGTTATGGTTTGTTGAATTTTTGTTCTAATATAAATATTTAGGGGGTTGATATCCCCACCCCTTTACATCACTTTTTACCCCCTCCTTTTCACACCAACTCTCACTCACATCCTCACAACTTTTCCACATACTCACCTCCTACACAATCACATCCCCTCACATGCATCTATAGGAGGGATGGAGTTAGAAAAACCCAATATTTATTGAGAAAAAAGTGAAAAAATATTGTGCAGCGTACCGAGACTCTGCTTACCACACGTGGTTGGCATGCACTCATTATTTAAGGGGGGTCAGAGACGTCTACAATTATCTGACTGTCACGGACAATCGTCTTCTCTCAGTCTTGCCTTCCTCCCAATTCACTACTATTCCACACAGAGCACCGGCACCAGCACCGGCGATGGCTTTGGCGATGAAGCGTGCCGCCGCCACTGCAGTTCGTGCTATTTCCTCTGCTAATTCCGCTTCGATTCTCACCAGACAGCTTCATGTAAGCAGTTCAATTTCATCTACGCGAATCCTTGATATACTCGATTTCAGTTTCCTGTTTCCATTTACAATTTTATTTGATGTTTGTTTCTTTCCATCTAATCTATTCGAGTTACGATCACTATTCGGTTTATTGGTTTTTTTAACTCCTGATCTGCTCCACTCTTCAACTGTGCGTTTGTGCTTTTGTTGCTTCCACTTTTTTCTTTTTGACTGTATGCATGTGGTTGATGGCCCTAGAAATAGACTGATTGTGTTTGTGGGAAAGCGTGATTCGATCACTCGTGATCTGAGCACGGGGAACTTCACCTACAATGAAAAATCGTCACCGTTGGACTCTGAAATGTTTAGATGTACTTTCCCCATATTATTATTGCTGTGATCTCGATATACTAGGGATTACTCTCTTGGTGGCATAAAAATGTGAGCTATTTTCATTAGGGTGTGGATCGACTGAAATCCAATGGATGTAAGGGTTCCTATCCTATCCAATAATCCATTGAATGTTGTATCTTGCCTTCCTATTCCATCCAATTAACATCGGTCAACTGATCAAATCCAACCCAGTGGATAATGGGATCGGTTCGGTTCGGAGTAACCAGTCTTAGCCTTGGGTGATCCTAAGACCACTCTGAACTTTGGGTTAAAAATTTATATAGACCAGCTATAAAGCCCCGTTACAGTTTATATACAGCCTCACCCCCAAGATTCCATCAAGGGGTCTGATATTTTGTAACTTTAATTTGCTAAATTTATTGCATATTTTATAAATACTATTTAGGATTTTTCATTAGAAATTTATGCACGTATAATAAATAAAATACTTGGGATCGGTTTCTAAAAGTAATTTGTATTTTGTTTTAAAATGCTTTATTATATCTGTTGGGTAAAAAAACGCTTTATGTATTATTTTCGTGAAAAATATTTTGATGGGGGAGGTTATGGACCTTCAATGTCTTATAAATAGACTAGTACTTGACGACTGAATTGTAGAAAATGAAAATCCATTGAGTTCATTGGTGAATTTGTTAGTGTAACACTTTTATAAAGTAGATGTTAGAACCGATCCAACGATAATCAAGTTTGACTTTACAAAATTAGAAACAAACGGAAATTGAACCAAGGAAGGAATAGAGGTTTCTGTATACAAAGTGGCTCAATTGTCATATAGAGGCCTACAAACACAGTGTCTCAATTGTCATATAGAGGCCTACAAACACAGTGTCCTAAGACGAAATTCACCCCAATCATGCTTTGGTAACGGACATCGCCTTGAGGATACAACTATCTAATTGGATTGATGCATGTCACTCCAATTCCATCAATCGTGTTTTTGAAATCCAGAACTGGTGAGGTATATATACCTTTTGGTCTCACCCAAAATTAACTGTCAAAAAACTGTCCAGTGACTAATGCAACCCGCATGGAAGTCGCCTTAAGCATTGTTTACTCGACAACACATGAAACTCTCAATTTTAAGGTCAATAGATCCCCAAGGCCCAATCTTTTGACCGTTAAATATTTGTTATGCCCTAACTAAAGCCCAATGCAAGTTTGGCACGGGTTTACCCACATGGAAGTTGCTGTATGCATTGTTTACTCGACAACACATGAAACTCGCAATTTTAAGGTCAATAGAGCCCCAAGGCCCAATCTTTTGGCCGTTAAATATTTGTTATGCCCTAACTAAATCCCAATACAAACTCAATACTTACTAATATGGGTTTGGTCTTATAAACCCGTTATAGATTCCAAGTCTTTCCTATATGGGACAAAGTGTTAGTCTAATACCCAACAGTTGTATATGTTTATTTTTGGAATGATAACTTTCATCGACATAATATATTTATATATGTGTTATTTATGTGCTTCCACAATTATATTTAAGACCACCCTAGACAAAAATCTTGGCTCCGCCACTAGACTTCCATCCATAGGATCGCATTAAAGCTATCCAATTTTCTACAGATTAATGATCATTTCAACCAATTATTCATTATTTTTTTCATTTCTTAAAAAAATACTACATACAACTATCAACAAAAAGCAGTATTGTAAAATATTATATGTAGTTGGATGATAATCGGAATGAACCATTTTATTTGATTCTGGATTGCCATCCGACTTATCTAATTTGGATGATGAAATTTTGGATCCAAACTGATCTGATTACAATGGGGTATCCAATTATGATCGTCGGTTCTAATTGTCCTGGATGACTTTCTCCACACTCCTAATTTTCAAGTTTAAATTATTGTGGTTTCTGTACTTTTAGTGGAACATCTTGTAGCCATATTTAACTCATAACAAGTATTGCATATTACAAATCTTGGCAGTAAAATAATATATGCATATCAAATTCGTGGTTAAAAAAATTCTGCCATGGAAGCATTACAGGCTTGTACTGCAGAGTCATACCTTATAGCCGTAACTGTTTCAATTAACCATCCATGTAGGTTGCCTTGGCATTTCATCTATCTTAATCTATTGCTTTCAAATGAGATTCAGATCTGACATTTAGAAACGTTTGAAACTTGTCAACCTAAAGTTGATCTAATTTCTTCAGCTTTTAGCACATTTTATACATCTAGTGCTCACTATATGGTTTAACCTAGTTTTGTTTTGTTTTATCCTCCCTCACGAATTATTTATCAAGTTGATTAAATCCATTCAACTTGTAGAGTCGAATGTCAATTATCTTCTTTCTCTCATGAAAATGAGGGAGTATTATTATTTTACTATGTAACATTCTATCATCTAATTTATTCATTGGACCTTGGATCTGTTAATATTTGCGGTTCACTTATTGGTTTGTTTTCTTTCATCCGGACTGGAGCAGGCTTCTGCTGAGAAGAAGAAGATTGTAGGTGTTTTCTACAAGGCACATGAGTATGCTGAGATGAACCCCAACTTTTTGGGTTGTGCAGAGAATGCGTTGGGCATTCGCAACTGGTTGGAATCACAAGGCCACGAGTACATTGTCACCGATGACAAAGAGGGACCAGATTGCGGTAACTTTCTAACTTGACTGCATTATAAATTTTCCAAGATTTATTACAAGTACATATGCACTCACTTTCTGTTGTCATTTCCCATTGCAGAACTAGAAAAGCATATATCTGATATGCATGTCCTTATAACCACCCCATTCCATCCGGCCTATGTTACTGCTGAAAGGATTAAAAAGGCAAAGAATTTGCAACTGTTGCTTACCGCTGGGATTGGATCGGATCATGTTGATCTCCAGGCTGCTGCTGCTGCTGGGCTAACTGTAGCAGAGGTTACTGGAAGCAATGTTGTTTCTGTAGCAGAAGACGAACTTATGAGGATCCTCATTCTTGTTCGTAATTTCTTGCCTGGACACCATCAGGTTATTAGTGGGGATTGGAATGTTGCAGGTATTGCTTACAGAGCTTATGATCTTGAAGGGAAAACTGTAGGAACAGTTGGTTGTGGACGTATTGGTAGGCTTTTACTTCAAAGGTTGAAGCCTTTTGGCTGTAATCTTCTCTATCATGATCGTATTAAGATGGACCAAGAATTGGAGAATCAAATTGGTGCCAAGTTTGAGGAAGATCTTGATAAGATGCTTCCTAAATGTGACATAATTGTCATCAATACACCTTTAACAGAGAAAACTAAGTGAGCATCTCTCCTATCAAACTTGAGATATCCTTGTATGATTACTCTACATCTTTTATATATCTTCTTTTGTGATAAAAATGAACGATTTGTAAATTGTATCTGTCGTTACCACAATGGTCTACTTTATCATGAGATGAAGCTGATGGATAATTTATGTTTCAGAGGAATGTTTGACAAAGAAAGGATTGCTAAATTGAAGAAGGGGGTTCTGATTGTTAACAATGCTCGAGGGGCTATCATGGATACACAAGCTGTTGTTGATGGCTGCTCTAGTGGACACATTGGAGGCAAGTTTTAACAAATTCATTGTTTACTTGGGGGTTGTTTGGTTGGTTTTTCATCAAGTCTTGTATGGATAAAGCTGTCTGTATGGATTGAGAAGATTTTTGTTTGGGAGACCATTTTTCATAGATGGAAGGAGCATGTTTTTAATTGGGAGGGGCAGAATTTGGAAAAAGCTTGGCTTTCTGCATAGAAGCTTAATGAATAAGCCACCTTGTATATAATTAAGCCACTACCAAATAATCATCTATAGCTGACTGACTAAGTTGTTAGCCCTGTTAAGATCATTAAGCTGCTAACAAACAGGCCCTTAGCCATGCTACTTCAATTATGGTACTCGAATAACAGAAATATACAATTTAAATGTTGGTTTTTGTGTGGTTTGTTTCAGGGTATAGTGGAGATGTTTGGTATCCTCAACCAGCTCCAAAAGATCATCCATGGAGGTACATGCCAAATCAAGCAATGACCCCTCACATATCTGGAACCACCATTGATGCACAGGTTAGCTAGCTAGGTTACTTCTTCGGTTGTTGTATGGTTGGGTGAACATAATTTGATGAAAAATGCAAATGGGATTCTTTTTGTGCAGTTGCGATATGCAGCTGGAGTGAAGGATATGTTGGAGAATTATTTCAAGGGAGAAGACTTCCCTGCCCAACATTATATTGTGAAGGAAGGTGAACTAGCAAGCCAGTACCGGTAAATCTGTGGTAGCAACAGGTCTTTGTTCCAATGGGGTCGACTGCTGTGCTAAATGCATGCTTCTTAATAAGTTAAGTTGAGCTCCTAAAAGTGTAATTTACCACCTTGTAATAGTAAGGTGTAGTTATGGCATCAATGAATTTGAATCTTTTTTTCTTTAATGGTCTACCTTACAATTATGCGGTTGTGAGAATCAGACCACTGTTGAGCATGAAACATGTAAGAACAAGGGAAGGAGTAACCAATCTCAACAGATCTCTGATCACATTACTGGTATATGTGGAACATGTTGGATATGTTCAGCAAACTAACTGAAATCCATGTTTGTTAAATTTAAACGATAAAGAACATAAGGAAATGTTAAAAAGTATAAGAGGCATAATTAAAAGAAGTGGTAGAGAACTCTTTGAAATTTATTGAAAACTACTTCAGACAATGTTTCATAAAACAGACTTATTATAGTTGCTAAACATGACCATCGTATATCTTAGGTGTGAGTTTATTTAGTTATTGCTTTCCCTTAAGATAAACTGAATTTGTCTAATTATTGATTTTTTCCCTTGCTTTAAGCATGCTCCATCTTCCAATCATGTCTACATATATTTTTAAAACACAAAAATGCACCAAAATTCAAACTAAAAACAACAAATTTGACAATAGGACTTAAGCCCAGGCTTTTTGTACAAAGACATGAACATTTACCAACTCAACCATTAAAGTCATGTACCAACATTTTAGTTTCAAAAACTATATGGTGTCATCTTTCAGAAAACACATTTTTTTTTTTCTTGTTACAACGGAACCGATGACACTATAGGTTTGTCCATGAAGAGAATAGATTGTTAGAGCATTCTCCAAAATAGATAATTAAAGATCAAAATACTCAAAGAAAAATTATATTCAATCCTTACATTTTTTTTATTTTCGATATTACAACATTAATTATATTATTAAAATATTTAATAAAAAATTATTTTTTTTTCTAAAAATTTAATTTCAAAATATTTTTATTACCGAGGATAATAAGAAAATTGTACTTTCTTCTAAATGGAGAATCAATTTAAGGGTAACTTAAGGGATGTTTGACGGTTGGTGAATGGTTTGGTGAAGAATGATTAAGTGGTCAAAATGATTAAGAGATTTTTATGATAAATATAATTGTTTAGAATAAAATTAGGGCACTAGATAATTAAGAGATAATCAATAAATAAAATCATTCAGAAGATTTTAGTTACATTAAGAGATAAACTTTTTTATCAAAACAAGATTTACCTTTTAACTATTCAAATATTATCTCTTAATTGAACTATTAAGAAGTAAAAAAAAAAAATACAAATTAAGATAAAAAAATAGTCCAAACTCTTTATGATCTCAATTAGAAATGCTAACAAAAATGGGTAAATTGCATCAAAATGGAACTAACTTTGACTTCATTTCTGTTTTAATGAACCAACTTTTAAAACCATCATTTAAGGGCCTGAAAGAAAATTCATGTTTATTTAAGGGCTTCGTTTACCTATTAAGCAGGTAACCGGTTACTATAATATGATGTGACATAATTACAAATTAAAAAAGCATTAAGTGGATATTTGGGATTCCATATCATCAATTACTGAAAAACTAATTACAAACTAAGATCTCAAAATTCATAGAAACCGTAAACCGTCCCTTCCTTTTGTCCTCCCATCCACCCKCTTCTCYTCTCGTCRGCGCTTCATTTCCAGAAAAAGGAGGAAGACAGTTGATTATATCTCATTCATCATGAAAAAAAAGAGGATGGAGAAATTGAGTTAGAATTAAAGCCTTGTAAGTATTTACACAGTTCCATGCTTTTCAACAGTATGGTTACAAGACAGATTGAAGCCTTTCAGATATTGATAACAGACAGATCTATAACCTATGGTCCAGATTTGCAAGCTTCTGGAATGGAAGTCGTGGGTGGTGGCTAGTGGAATGGAGTAGAGGAGGACAGWRAGGGGCWTTTGGTCGGAGATGAAAGGATGGGAAGAAGAGAGATAGTGATGGGATGGTGATTATCGACGGAGAAGAAAGAATAATGGTGGTGAGATGACAGAAATCGGCGACAAAGAAAGAAGATTGGCGGTGCCTCAGTGGGATGGTGGAGATCGGCGACGACAAGGGCTGGTGAAGGTGGTCACGGTTTGGAGAACACCGGAGTTTGCAGGTGAAGGTGGTCACACTTTGAGGTGGCCAATGTTTTAGGTGATGRCGGTAACAATTTGGGGTCACCGGAGTTGCAGTTGTAGTTGGGGACGAAGGAGGTCACAATTTGGGAGTGGTGACTATTCATTTGCCCCTGTGACGTGGATGTCTTTGAATACACCATTTCATAATAGTATAATATTTTAGAATTATTTATATAAACTTAATCATGACATGGAAGCTTAGTTGGTAAATAATGTAGCCACATCATCTTTAGTAGGTTAACAGGTTAAGGAGACCCTTAAATAAACAAACAGGTTAAGGAGACCCTTAAATAAACAAAAACTTTGTTTTACATCCCTAAATAATGATTTTAAAAGTTGGTTCCCTAAAATAGAAATCAAATCAAACTTGGTTCCATTTTGATGCAGTTTTCCCAACAAAAATCTAGAAAGTTCGAAGATTTTAAAGTTCTCTCTTTCCATTTTTTTTTCCCTCTAAGAGCTTTAAAATTTTTAGAAAAAAACAAGAGAATTCTTCAAAAACTCAGCTTTATTATTCCCAAATATTTATCTTCAACCAACCAATAAAACTAAATAGAAAAAAGAAAAAGAAAATAGCTTTGTTTTATATTATTTAAATATTTTATTAATATAACTAATCTCTAAAATAAACAAGTTTTTGAAGTTGAATATTCTTTTTTGAATTATTTTGAGAAAAAAAATTAAATATAAACCGTCCAAAACAAGCAGAGAAGATTTGTAGAAGCCGTTACATATGAATAGTTATGTTAGGACTTGCTTATGCATCGTTAAATTCTTTATTAGCACAAATATTATTTTTGACTTTGCTATAAAAAATAGGTTCTCAAGTTCAAATTCAAGGAGGGATAAAATTTTTTTTGTCGCCATGGAGGTTGCAAAACAGGTGGTCGTCCTGAATTAGTCGACTCATATAACGAGTTGAATATTCAGGTTAAAAAAAACCTAAAATTAGTAAATAACTAATATCCTCCTTTCATTTCACTTTATACTTATTTTGTAACATCAATTAAGCAGGATATTTCATAAAAGACAAAGGATTAGTTATTTTCATCAAATATGTTCCTTTTGTTTCAAAATATGGTGACGATTGCACAGTACGATCACACCTGCAAACCGTTTACTCGTCGTCCCTCAGTGGCTGCCGGCGTTGGTCGGCTAAATTAACTATTATCTGACGTCTTCTTTTTGACGCAAGTTACCCTTTTTCTCCATTCATTATTTCACATCCAATTTCATCCTCTAGGTATGCTAACTTTACTTTCATAAATTCCTTCATCACCATCTGTTTACTTGTATTTAATGGGGGGAAAGGGGGTATGTGTGTATAAAATTCTGGCATACACTTTTTTGTACTGATTCGAAATCTGTACAGCAGTCAACTAATTGTCTTTATCTGGGATAGGACTATCTACTGATTTCAGACAGGGTTTTCATTGTTGGATCCGTCAAATTCAAGGTTTTTTTCTTCTTCCCCTGTTCTATTTGACTACATGGATTTATCTGGTTCAACATTCTAGGGATTCCTGGTTGCGATTTGTTAATTCCAACTTGAATCACCATTTATGAATCTGTGTCATAGGTTTTCACAAGTTCTGATGCAGATTCCTATTTTATTCTTCTGTTGGAAAGATTTATGTTTGCACAAATGTTGTTCTAGTATTCTGGATTAAACTTTGGTTATTGTTGGCAAGTGATTTTGATCCGATCATTGTCTATTGATTGACATTAAACTTCCTCATTGATGGATGTATCTTAGTTGTGATCCATATGGTATTCTGTGAACGCATCTTCTTATTGTTATACAGCAACCTGAATAGACATAACCCTGTTTTAGCTCCAGTGATTCATGGGTTAAGTTTTCAATTTATTTCAGCTATACATATATAATGATGTCAGAGAATGCTATCAGAGATCTTAATTTTCTACCTAAATCTGAGAGCTCAAGTAAAGACATCTTTGCTAAACCATATGTTGAGCATTCTGTTGAAACTGTTGAAAATAAACAAAGAACAAACATGGGTTCTTTGGTTCAATCACCTGTGAATGGAAATGAGTTGGGGGTTGCTGAAGTAGAATACATTGAATCTGAGAAATTGGATGATTTAGAAGATGTTGATAAGAATCTAAAGGTAGATTTGCATCTTTCCATTCCCATAGTGATCAAAGTTTCTATTAGAATATGATGGTTCTGTATTTCTTTGATTAAAAGTTTGATATCTATGATACAATTCTCCTCTTCAGATGCTTGTACTTGGGTTGGAGTCTAAAGATTGGGTTCTGATATGTGAAACCCTCAACAATGTTCGACGTTTCTCAATATACCACAAGGAAGCATTACAAGATATACTGTGAGTCCTTTTCCTTTCGCCAATATCATATGCTCATTTAGCATGATAAATATTCATTACCGGCAATGTTTGAATGAAAATAGGGAGAGAGTGATTTCCCTCGTTGTGAAATCCCTAAAGAATCCAAGAAGTGCTGTTTGTAAAACTGGCATTATGACTTCTGCGGACATTTTCAAGGCGTTTGGTGACCACATCATTGATTTATTGGACCCTCTGGTGATTGCTTGACCCGACCTCTGTGTGGGATATATTGTGTTTGTTTGATTTGAATTTTTGTAATTGATTTGTTTCACAGACTCGACTGTCGTGGTTGCTGTTGTTTCCTTTTTGTATAGATAGCAATTGTTCCGTAATTTGAATTTGGTTGTTGTTTTCAGCTTGTACAACTTCTTCTCAAGTCGTCACAAGACAAGCGGTTTGTATGTGAGGCTGCTGAAAAGGCGTTGGTAGCTTTGACGACTTGGGTTTCAGCTGTTCTATTGTTACCAAAATTGCAACCGTATCTTAAGAACCGCAATCCTCGGATTCGGGCAAAGGCGTCAACATGCTTTTCTCGTAGTGTGCCACGATTGGTAAGAAAGTTTTTACCAAAAATAGAGACCCTTTACGCGTTGATGTCCATTAATAATTTTGAATTGAAAAATTAAGGATGCTGAGGAGATGAAAGCATATGGAATTGAGAAACTGATCGAAATAGGCGCCTCCCAGCTGAGCGATCAGCTGCCTGAATCGCGAGAGGCTGCTCGTGCTCTTTTGTTGGACCTGCAGGCTGCATATGAAAATAGTCCTGTTTTGGCACCAGAATCACATTCAGAGGTACATTCATGGGAGCAGTTTTGTGAACTAAATCTATCGAAGTCAAGTGCTCAAGCTGTTCTTCGTGTGACGAGTGTCGGTCGAGAGGGTGTTGTTTCGGTTTCATAGCACATACATATGAGATGAATTTGAAGGTGATGCTTTTACATGTAAAATTGAATATGGGAGGGTTCATTATTGGTAAATCGCAGTTTTGTGGGAAGCTTGTGTTCACTTCGTTTGTTTCATGGTTGCATTGTTACTTATCAACTAATTGTTTAAGTAATCTGAAAGAATTCTAACCATGTGCTTATCTATACTATACTAGTTTTGTGCACCGTGCCTTGCACGGTGATGATAATTTTTTCAGAAAAAAAAAATCAAATTAATGTTGAAATATTACAATGTCAGTTTATACATATATGATTTTCTTTTATTAGAATTATATAATATAAATATAATGATTAATTTATTGGCCTTCATATTTTTTGTTCATGTTGTATGCTCACAATTGTTGATATGTTACGATCAATCCTTTTAATACATAACTAAAACTTTAAATCATCATTAGATAAATCTCTTCAAAATATTAAATAGGACAATATTTTTTTTTGATTTACCGAATATATAAAAAATTAAAATTTTCTCTTTTTCATACAAAGTCTTTAATCCCGCCGCATATCAAAATCAGTTTATACTCAAACAAAACATCATTTTTTTCATTATGTATTTTAAATATGATATTATATATATAAATAAATAAAACTTTACACAAATTTAAATAATTTTAAGCATAATAAAACAAAGAACATATATCATATAATATAAATAATTTAATAAAAACAAACAAATACACATACAAAAACCATATGAATATCACATTTTCAAATAAATAATATAATATAATATAATTTTTACTCCATAAAATTAATGTAAGAATTGTTACATTTTATATTTATATTATTTAAACAAATACTTAAAATAATGTTTATGTATTTATTTATTTATTTGAAAACAAATAAAATGTGATATTCATGTGGTATTTGTATGTGTATTTATTTGTTTTTAAAAAAAAATGTGATATTCATGTGGTATTTGTATGTGTATTTATTTGTTTTTAAAAACGTTAAATGAGATATAATATATAGATGAGATAAAAAACGGTATAGAAAATGAAAGGTCTAGAACATTTATGAATTAATGACAGATAATTAATATAACCAACAAATAAATCTAAAAATTTGAAAAAAAAAATGAATTTTGAAATAAATTTTTCATAAAGTGTCATGTAAGAAACTTCATATTTTACTTTTTAGATTTATATAAAATAATGATGTCAAATACTCAATGATGAATATGTATTCCATTATAAGAAGATTTCTTTGACCACTTTCAACTTAATTAGTTTTAATTTTCACATTACATAACTTCATAGATATATTTATTATACTATTTTCATCTACTAATTAAAATAAACTTACAATAAATGTTGTGGCACATTGTCACAAGATGATTTTTAAAAGAGATTTTCTCATTGTTTTTAATTTATAAAATGTTAAATAAGTTAAATATTTTTTCCCCGTGAATGAAAAATATGTATTTCATTATTTTCTCCAAAATAAATACAAAAATTTTCAAGTCAGAGATGTCCTTAATTGAGCATTTGACATCATTATTTTATATAAATCTAAAAGTAAATATGAAGTTTTTTATGTGACACTATGTGGAAAAGTTATTTCATAATTCATTTTTTTTCTTCAAATTATTAGATTTATTTTGTTAGTTATATTAATTATATTTCATTAACTCATAAATGTTCTAAACCTTTTATTTTCTATTCCGGTTTTATCTCATCTATATATTATATCTCATTTAACATTTTTAAAAACAAATAAATACACATACAAATACCACATGAATATCACATTTTATTTGTTTTCAAATAAATAAATACATAAACATCATTTTAAGTATTTGTTTAAATAATATAAGTATAAAATATAACAATTCTTACATGAATTTAGGGGTAGAATAATATAACTTATTTAACATTATAAAAACATTAACAAATCATTGAGGAATACATGAAATTGTTTAGAGGTTTCATCTCCAAGAATGAAGAGAAAAATGTTGGAGGTTAAGCCTTTTAAAATTACCAAAACAAACTTATTTTAATGAATTTCATGTTTTAAAAATAGAGATAGAAAAGTCTTTTACATATCAAATATTAAAAAAAAATCAAAAATCTAGGAAAAAAGAAAGATAAGTTTCTAATATCTAGAGAAAGACACCTATTGTATTTGGTTTCTTCTTTATATATATTGATGATTATCAACCACGTATAAACAATTATTGTGAACGGAGTAACAATTTGTTTTTTTATAATATCTTGTAATCATAAAATATCAAAATTTTATTCGAATTTATATGATCCAATCGTAAACACAATCATGTCATACGATAACAACAAATCCAATAATATTGAAAAGAAGAAATATGTAATAACAAATCACATTTTGTAAATAATATAATTTTTAGATACATTTTAAAATCTTTTAGATTTTCTTCAACTCTTATTTCTTCATTACTCATCGAAAGATTTCTGTCAAAAGTAGTCAAAATTTAACGTAATTATCAATCACGTATGAATAGTTATTGTTATTGAAGCTTAAATTCGAAAAAAGTTTATTATATCCCGTGATTACAAAATATCAAAGTTTTATTCGAATTTATATGATCAAATCGTAAACATAATTTATATGATCCAATCGTAAACACAATCATATCCTATGATAACAACTCCAATAATATTGAAAAAGAAATATGTAATAACAAATCACATTTTTTAATTAATATATTTTCTATATACCTTTTAAAATATTTGAATTCTTCTTTAACTCTCACCTTCTTCATCCCTTACCAAAGGATTTTCTAGGATTCATTTTGTTTATTATTGAAACTTTGAAAAACAAATTTCATTAAGAAATAAAAGAAAGTAAATGGAAGAGCAAATCAAGAGTTGAAGGTTAAACATGGGTATACAAAATTACAAAAATAACCCGAGTTAATTATGAGCTATACATTTTCATCCAGGGGTAAAAAAGTCTTTAACATATTCAACATTTAAAAAAATCAAAAAAATGAGGAAAAAGATAGGAGGAGTTCTAAGCATTAGATATCATTATGTTTAGTTTCTCCTTTAATATATATATATATATATATATATAT